AGTAACTGCAGTTTTGACAGGGAAAGTGTTTTCCCTGCTGTTTTTAGCCTTGAGGTCACTGCCACAGTAAATGTCTAAATCTCTAAATCAGATTCCTTGAGTTTTATTACCGTCATTTGAGTTGATGCATGTATCTCTGGTATTGTATCCCAGGTATGTGTAGTTGCTCCGAAGGCTGAGGTATTTAATTGGGAAGTGACATGATGTTTCCCCAGCTTCTGAATTGTTGCATCGGGCTAAATGAGCATGCTTGTTTTGACTGCTTACTCAGGACATTCTGTGCTAGAATGGGTTACCATGGATACAGACATTTATTTCTGCAAGGATTTTCAGCAATGTTAAATTATGTTCAATAAAACAATTGTTTTCTGTGTTTTTGATGCATGATTACAGTCTGTAGCAATATTTGGAATATATCACATCATTTATTTGAATATATTTTCAAATGTAATTCATTCCTGTGATTGTAATGCTGAATGTAGAGCTGAATGCTCCAGTCTTCAGTGTCACCTCAGCTTTCAGAAAAGAATTTTAATATGTTGATTTGGAGCTCAAGAAATTCATTCTCATTTCTTCTTATACATGTTGAAAACATTTGTGCTGCTTAATACTTTTGTGAAAATGGTGATACATTGTGTTTACTTTAAAATATTGTTTGTTGTCTTAATAAATGACTATTCTTTTATTTTAAATTACCTCCTAAAACTGCAGTCATAATAAAACGTTTTAAGTGTATTACTGAATAATTATTTTGAGTAATTTGAATCAATTTTTGTCATTGAATTTATCAAACTGTTTCACAGTCATGAATGATTAGATCATACTGAATCAGAATGATTTTTAATAATCCTTACCAAACTTTTTTGGGACTTTTTTATTTTAAATAGATGACAGCTTTATTCAGAGATGTTTAACTGATGTATTTTTTAAAAAGTATCACCTGAATGTATTTTAGTTTTTTTGTCTACTATAACCTTAAATGTCTTATATAGCTTCTTGTTGCATGATTTTTATTATTTATTGTTTTTGTCATGAAGATAGCCTTACTGCTGACATGGCATAAAAACAACAATAATCCTTACCCAGTAATGGCAAAGTCATAGAAATTATATAGTGATTTATATTGTGAAGCAAAACAGTGTAATTGGCAGTGTAGTTGTCATAGACCAAGATGTGTAAATCAAATTATTTTTGTATAATCCAGTGTTTTTAGTCTAAAAATGTGCATGTCTCAAAACCAAAAATAGCATTTGCGTTACTAGCCGTTATCGCTGTAGCCAAGATGAGCGATTCCCTGTTTGAGAGCTCTGAATAGAGAAAAAGAGAAGAAAGAAAAGATCTTTGTCTATAGTCAACATGAAAGTGCTCTTTTTCATTTCTCTTTTTTGGTTACATGTTGTCCTGTGCAGCCAGTACTGGGACAGCTCTCAGTGTGTGTGTGTGACCGCTTAAAGGAGACGGGGTGATTGACGACTGTCATGGCCAATAGGGGAGGAGCAACACGCCCCAACGGGTCCAACGTGGGCAATAAGATCTGCCAGTTTAAACTGGTCTTGTTAGGAGAATCGGCTGTGGGAAAGTCCAGCCTCGTACTGCGCTTCGTCAAGGGGCAGTTTCATGAGTTTCAGGAAAGCACAATAGGAGGTAGGGGATTTTTGTTTTAAAATTTATGTGTACCTGTTTAAACATGTTCTCAATGACTTTTCTCTTTTGCTTCTAGCGGCCTTCCTTACACAGACGGTGTGCTTGGATGACACAACGGTAAAGTTTGAGATTTGGGACACAGCCGGACAGGAGCGCTACCACAGTTTGGCCCCCATGTACTATAGAGGTGCCCAGGCTGCCATTGTAGTTTATGACATCACCAATGAAGTGAGTAGATTTGTTTCTCAAGCACTATATGAACGAACAGTTGTGTTTTATGACCAATTATTGTCACATTTCTCTTCTCTGCTTCTGTTATTGTGCCATTCATTTTCTTCACCTTGAAGGAGTCATTTGCAAGAGCAAAGAACTGGGTTAAGGAGCTTCAGAGGCAGGCCAGTCCAAACATTGTCATCGCACTGTCTGGGAACAAGGCTGACCTTGCCAACAAGAGAGCTGTGCACTGCCAGGTATACATGACTTCACAACAAGACCAGAGAGAAGTTTTTTTTATTTTTTTATCTGACCATTGCTGTCTTCCTCACCTGAGCCATTTTATTTCTACAGGATGCTCAGTCTTATGCAGATGACAACAGTTTGCTGTTCATGGAGACATCAGCAAAGACTTCCATGAATGTCAATGAGATCTTCATGGCCATTGGTAAGGTTTTACCTCATAGTAAAACCTAACAGTGATGATTTAAAGTATTTATAAGATCTTGTAAATGCAACATTGTATTCTTTGTGATGCTTTGGTGCCGAGGTGTTTTATTAATTAATAGATTATTACCTTTGTTTTTAATATTTATGTTGAGTCTGAAACGTTGATAATAATGAGAAATGTTTCTGGAGCACCAAATCATCATATAAGAAAGATTTCTGAAGCATCACGTGGCACCGATGATTAGAGTAATGGCTGCTGAAAATTCAGCTTTGCCATCACAGGAATAAATTTCATTTTAAAATATATTAAAATAGAAAAGAGTTATTATAAACTGTAATAATATTTCAAATATTACTGTATTTTTTTTTTTATCAGATAAAGTCAGTAACATTAAAAAGTATTAGTGTTAATTTCTTGTTTTGTTTCTCTACAGCGAAAAGGTTGCCTAAGAATGAGCCCCCAGCTGCCGGAGTCAGCAGTGGGCGGAGTAGGGGCGTGGACCTCACAGAGACAGCCCAACCCACTAAGGCCCCCTGCTGCAGCAACTAACGCAAAACAAATCCCCCCTCACCAAACTCTGTTACCGCAACAACTAACGCAAGGTCCCGCCCTCCAACTTGGTTTTTGACTAACTAATGAAATGCCTCCGCTTTCCCCATTTTCCACAACTCTCTTACGCTGTAACGAAAGCTCTGCCCCGCCCATGTATCTGCGGTGTTTTTGTTTTGTTGTTTTTCTGTAAAGACCCAGGCCTCTTACTGTATTCATGCTTAAGGTCATGCCTTGTCTCCAAACTGTAATATATGCCGTCACAGATATCCATCAAAAAAAAAAAAATCTCTGAATGCCATTTGCCTGACCAGGATGAAAGGGGTGGGGCCTCTGCAAGGGTTCACCTGCCCTGTCATAATTCAGAACTCTACAGTCGCTTCTTTTTCTCAAATCTGTTTTCATCTTTTTTTATGATTTAGTTTTATGGAAATGTGCTTTTCAGAATAATGGATGCATGTATCACTACAAAGCCTGAAAAAGGTAAATCAAAGTTTTAACCTTATCCAATGGCACACATGGTGAGAGAGGACGTGACAAATTACCCGGCCCTTTGCTCCACCCCGTCTCGTTTGCCTGCTCTTTCCCTCTCTGATTCTGGATGTCCCAGCGGCTCTGTTCAGTGGCAGACTGCCCACTTCCTGAGGCTGTGCCACCAGCAAAAAGCCCACCTCCTTCTTAACCACACAAACACACACACACATAGCCAAGATCCCGCCTCCTTATTATTCTCTCACCAGATAGCAAGCCTTCACTTTTTTGTCAGCATTATTGGCACTGTTCTATAACTGAGTGAATATGTGGCTGCGCTTTCATTCAGCATAAAAGGCCTAAAAAAACAAAACAAAAAAAAAACATCTACACAAGATAAGTAACTTCCTTTTCACAAACATGCACCAGTCACTCTCTTTTGCTCACACTCTTCTGGTTCTAACTCACCCAGGTGTTTCTTACTCCATGCCTTGCACTAATTTTTGGTCTTGATATTATCTCTTGCAAGTACAGCCAGAGTTATATAAATATATATAAATAATTTACTGTAAATAGGGTGTTGCAATGTATTCGTCTTTTCCATTTACTGTTGCAGGACTAATGCTTGATAGGGAGTTAGATAATAATAAAAAACAAAAAAACAAACAAAAAACAATTGTACAGTAACCAAGAATTGCTTTGATAGGGGGTTGGAGTTATGTTTCTTTTTCACAAATGGTTAATTTATAATCAATGGTGGTCTTATAAAAATGTATGTAGTGTTATTAACAAAAAAAAAAAAAACGCTTTTCTTTAGTGGTCTGTTTTGTAATTTTCACAAAAATGTTCACAAATGTTTTTGTCACTAAACAGTGTCCACATCAACAGATTATGATAGTTCTTCTTCTGCTTTTCTTCCCAGTATCGGACAACACATACACTTTTAACATTCTCTCGATCTTCTACCTTTCAGGATACTGGTACCACATAAATTCGCTGCTACATTCAATTTTTGTCTTTTTTTTTTTTTTAAGCGTTCCCCCTTTGAGACTAAAAATGCAGTTACTTAAATATTACTGTTAATGTATCAAATACATTTCTTATAAATGGTATTGATAATATTGTGTTCAGAGGGCCAAATTAACTTCTAGTCTTATCACTAATTGGAATTCCCATCACGGTGCGGATTCTTGTGTAATAGCATTTGTTTGTGATGATGACCCATAATAAGTAAATTGTACCTTGAGTCACAACACATTTGTTTGCTCATAAAGGACTGATTTTTATTCTATGTCTGATTGCAGATAAGATTCATTTTACAAAGTGTTTTCCTACTTCCTTATAGTGAGACCTGACTGTTTTATGATTACCTGTGTTCATTTTTGTTGACAGGTGATCAGTATTTAAATCCCATTATTTTTGTATTATTTATGTACTTATTTACTTTTAGTAATTTATGTGCTTTTGCCATTTTATTTTATTTTTTTATAGTTATACATAGTTCATTTTTATTTAACTTTTAATTTTAGTAATTGTTTAGTACTTTAACTTAAAATTATTTCAGTTAGTTGCAAAGGCAAAATTTCAATTTTTCATAAGATTTTCATCTTATATTTATATTTTTTCATTTTCTGGTTTATTTCAATTACTAAACAATTTTTTAAATAGTTTTAGTTAACGGTAGCAACACTGTCAAGCCCCTAAGCATACAACTGCCGTTTAACCTGAAGTTGATTTTCCTTTAACATTGTTTAAACCCTTTTCATATAACTTTTGGTGGGGTATGCAAGTCTAAAGTATGTTTATTAAAGAGATGACATTAGGACTAGGCCCTGATTGTATCAAAGGCATGTTATTCATGCAAGTGGCTTCACATCCAGATCTCTGCTAATAAAAATACTTTAAACCAGCCAGGCTTCTTGGCCTGGTCAGGCTGGTTTTAGAGAAGATTTGGGGACAAGTTTCGAGCTAGTCATTTTAGAAGTCAATGTCTCTACAAACCATGTCTGACGCTTTGAATGTATTTGACCTTGAAAGGATCTTTTAGAAACGTGACATATTTGTATCCCTCTCCGAATCATAACGGGATATTCATTTTGTGCCTCCCCTAGTGGAGACAAGGTAGATTTACAATGTCAAATAAAAAAGCAGGGATGAACGCCATGTCTGATCCCGCTGTTGAGGGGTAGAGAGAGCGAACACAGCGGGCGGACTTCGAGGATTCGAGTCGGAGCGCGGAAGCAGGCTCGATGTCGGAGAGCACGGGGATTCCTCAGGGCTCCCCGGCGGTGGGCGCGGCGGGCTCGGCCCCGGCTGCGCCAGGGGTCGGTGGAACCGAGTGTTCGGGCGCTGCTGTCGGTTCTGCACGTATCGCCGTCAAGAAGGCGCAGCTCCGCTCCTCCCCGCGTCCGAAGAAACTGGAGAAACTCGGTGTATATTCCTCGTGCAAGGTACATTAGAAATGTAAAAACATTGTTTACGTCTACAGTGCAAAGGAAAGACTCGCTTTTATTCGTTTATCTGATAGCTGAAACTAGCTGTTACCTTACTTTACACACTCTTGAATTTGCAAGCACAGCACAAAAAGCCATCGCTTTGGCTTCCATCTTTTTTTTGTATTTTTTCCATGTTTTTTTCGTGCTTTAGCCACTTAAATTAATGCACAACAAAATATATCACTGAACTCATCATTTCCGTGATCTGCAGAGATAATACGCCGTGTTTGCCCATAGTAGGCAACATGACGTGAACATTGGGTACTCTTGGCGGGTTGTCAATTAATTTTTTTATTTTAACAATGAACGCAGATTTTTCTATTGTATGTTGTCAGGTCAAACTAAAGTTTCATGGTGCTTTGGCGCGAGAGTTCTGCCAGAACGGGAGACACAATCTGAAGTTGATTACTCAAGAGGAGAGAGCGGCGTCTTTGTTTTGACAGGATGACAGCTGCTGAAGGGGCGGGGACTGTTACTGGGGGCGGGGTCTATTGCTGGGGGGCGTTGTCTGCTCATTGTTGGCAGATCAGGCACACACGAAACATATGGCGGGCCAAATTACTCAAATGTTAAAATATTTAACTAAATCGATAAATACATAATTTAATTGTTAATAAAACATTAAAACCATTAAATTACTTATTAAAGGACCAAAAATAAGTGAATAAATGTCCATTGTATTTTATCTTAGCATTAGGTTTGCCTTCATTTTTCATTATCTTTGGATTGATTTTTCATTTAAGCACAGGAAGATTGTGTCTTTTAACTTTGTTGTGCAGGGTTACAGTTTTTGTATGTCACTGAACAATTAGTGGGCGTCACTTTCAAACTCCAGTGTGTTTAGGCATGTTTTCAACAATGATTTAATTTTAAGTAAGTTGGCCCTCCATCAGTATTGAAAACAGATTAAACATAGATAGGAATTTTCTATGGCCACTAGAAATTCATTTTTTGATATATGGATAAAATAATAATTAAATAATGTATGATTCTATTGGTTTCTGTGCAGTGCTTCAACATGTTTATTTTATTAGTATGAACATATTCCTAATGTATTGATGTCATATTTTGTGGCTGATCTGTTTCGTCCTCACACAGGCTGAAGGAGCTTGTAAGTGTAATGGCTGGAAGAGTCAAAACCCACCACCAACTCCGCCCCCTCCAACCCCGCCCAGGGCTGAGCAGCCAATTGCTGTTAACTTAATGGAGCCCTGTAGAAGCTGCAGCCACGCCCTCGGTAATGACTGTTTGTGTAATAATAGAATTCCGGAAGATAAAATCCCATTCCTAGAGAAATGAGAAATGGATGTTTAGTATAACCTATAAACCTTTCAAGAAAGACCTACAATGAGTCAGTGTTGTTAAGCGATAATGTTTTCACATAAACAATTTACACAAACTACATATTTAAAAATTTTGCAATAAGCTTCAAATATGTTTTTTTTTTTTTTTCAATTACTTACAGTCAACAGTTTTATATTGTACTGTTTGTGATTCAGCTACGTCAATGGCAAGGCTTCTTACAAAGTCACAATTGTATTCTTTTGTGTTACTGGCCAGGTGACCATGTGACACACCTAGAGAATGTTTCGGAGGAGGAGATGAACAGACTGCTTGGAATTGTACTGGATGTGGAGTACTTGTACACATGCGTCCATAAAGAAGAGGATCCAGATACTAAACAAGTTTACTTTTCTCTGTTCAAAGTGAGTTCTTGTGGGTTGTTGCACATTGTGAAGTGGTGCTTATGTGCACCTCAGTGCGTGACTCCCTGTTATGGAAATATTAAAAATATCTATCACTTAAGGTTTATGTATTACAATTAATGTAATTACCAAAAATCTAGGGTCAGTATTATTTGTAATGTTTTTTAAACAAGTCTCTTATGCTTATCAAGGCCGCATTTATTTGATCAAAAAAAAAAAATACAGTAAAGAGATAAGTGTTTTGAAATATTATTACAGTTTTAAATAAGTGTTTTCTATTTTAATATATTTTAAAATATAATTTATTCCTGTAATGCAAAGCTGAATTTTCAGCAGCCAATAATTAAGTCTTCAGTGTAACATGATCCTTCAGATTTCATGTTGATTTGGTGCTCAAGAAGCATTTCTTATTATAATTATGTTGTAAACAGTTGTGTTGCTTAATATTTTTCTGGAAACGGTGATATATTTTTTCAGGATTCTTTGATGAATAGAAAGTTCAAAAGAACAGCATTTATTTGAAATAGAAATCTTTTGTAACATTATAAATGTCTTTGCTATAACTTTTGATCAATTTAATGCGTCCTTAAGTTGCTGAATTAAAGTATTAATTTCTTTAAAAAAAAACTGACCTGCAATTTTTTGAACAGTAGTGTATATTACTATATATTTACATTCTGCTGTGTTTATTCTATTTGCTACTATTTGTCAGTCTTACCTACCTATATTTGTTGGAAATGTCTTAGTTGCTACGGAAATGCATCCTGCAGATGGGAAGGCCTGTGGTAGAAGCTCTGGAAAGCCCACCTTTTGAAAAACCAAGCATTGAACAGGTAGCTGCTTAAATTGCAAGGCTGTAATCACCATAGTTAATGAATAATTTACGATCAGTATGGATTTTGTCAATGTCTCATTCTTCAACTTTTATTAAACCCCTCAGTCTGGAATATGGTAACAATATTTGGTAAACTTTTTCATCACATCACATTCAAACATAATGTCAGTATCAGGTGCAAAAACAGTTAAATGTCCTATGAGGTCAATAGCGTCTTTATGCTGAAACAGGCATATGAAACAGGAAATTTTGAGGAACCTCTGATATTATTAAAAACATTCCTGACATCCTTTGTTCTTGGTGTCACACATACATTTTTTTTCATGTGTCGATTTTGTTGCAGGGTGTGAACAACTTTGTGCAGTACAAGTTTAGCCACCTACCTTCTAAGGAGAGGCAAACCATTGTGGAGCTCGCAAAGATGTTCCTCAACCAGATCAACTACTGGCAGCTAGAGACTCCCTCACAAAGGAGGCAAAGAGCACCTGATGATGATGTGGCTGGTTATAAAGTCAATTACACCAGGTGACTTAGTTTTTGTGTTTAGGGTCACCCAAGAGAGGGAAACGATACATAATTTTTCTCTTCCGTTTTGTACCTTATTGTCATGTAAAGATAACATGAAATAACAATTGGCCTTATTTATATTTATATTTAAAAGTGCCCATATTCTGCTAATTTACAAGTCATAATTTTACTTTTGGGACTGCTAGAATACATGTACATTTGCATGAAGTGTTTTCTCCCTTTGACGCTGACTTAGTGCTTGCTTTGTAACTTTGCAGATCATTTACATGCACAGAAAGCTATATTACACACTAAAGGAAAGGTCAAATTAAAAAAAGTCCTTTAATACATATTTCTGGTCTTCTTTGTGTTCGTGTTGCAGGTGGCTGTGTTATTGTAACGTGCCCCAGTTCTGTGACAGTCTCCCTCGGTATGAGGCCACACAGATTTTCGGCCGCACTTTTCTGCGCTCTGTGTTCACTGTAATGAGGAAGCAGCTGCTGGAACAGGCCCGTCAGGAGAAAGACAAACTACCACCTGAGAAGCGCACTCTCATTCTCACACATTTCCCCAAGTAAGCACACAACCACACAGACAGAAACCTCCACGAATAATAGGTCTATATTATGTGTATGTGAATGTGTGTGTGTTGTGCGCAGGTTTTTGTCTATGCTGGAGGAAGAGGTTTATAGTCATAATTCACCCATCTGGAGTGAAGACTTCATGGTCCGTTTATCAGGTGGACAGATACCCACAGGTGATTAGCAGTGTTAGAGTTAATTTTATTCAGTTGTATGTGTCGCATGGCAATGTAAAGAGACTTTTCTCTTCTCTGATTGGTACAGTGATCAGTGCTCCGCCCGTGACCCGCCCCCTGTACCACACCAGTAGTCCCGCCCCAGTGGAGCTGGCTGGAGGAGGCAGCGTAAGCCCGGCCCGGAAAACAGCATCCGCTTTGGAGCCCAATCCAGGTGTTAACTCATTTTATAACATTTTATTCAGTGCCTGATTGGAAATGCTAGAAAATCGCTTTGCCATTTATGTAGTCTTAATGATGAATCTACACTACTGTTTGGGGTCAACAACATTTTTTTTAAGAAATCATACTTTCATTCAGCAAGGATGCATAAAATTGATCAAAAGTGACAGCAAAGAATTTGTAACATTACAAAAGATTTCTATTTCAAATAATTGCTGTTCATTTGAACATTGAATTCATTTACATTTAGTCATTTAGCAGACGCTTTTATCCAAAGCGACTTACAAATTAGATCATATATAACTAATATATGTATTTAAAATATATATTTAATACACCAATTTTTAATATTAATTTTATGAAAAAGTGGTTTGAATGAATGATTCAATGACTCACTCATAAATACTTCACTTGTTTCAGTACTGGATAAATTAGCATTTTTGAACTGAATCTCTAGAATAAATGATTCAATGACATTTACATTTACATTTAGTAATTTAGCAGATTCAAATTCATCAAAGAATACTAAAAAAATGTATAACAGTTTCCTAAAATATAATAGCCATTTTACAATGATTTACGAAGGATCATGTGGAGTAATTTAAAATAGAATTTCATGTGGAGTATATTAAAATAGAAAACAGTTATTTTAAATTGTAATAACATTTCACAACATTACAGTTTTTAAGCTTAAAGGACCTGCTGAGATTTTAAGTTAACATTAAAATAATTTAACAAGACATTTGTATGTTCACGATTCTTTTATGAAGGTGACATGCAAGTAAACATAAAATATGTGCACATATGTAGGTGGAGAAAAGCGAAAGCCTTCTGAGCCGTTGTCTCATGAGGACAGCAAACGACCCCGTGTGGTTGGTGACATTCCTATGGAATTAATTAATGAAGTCATGTCTACCATTACAGACCCTACTGCCATGCTGGGACCAGAGGTAAACACAGTGTGTTATGTATTTTGTATCTGATGGATGGCAGTGCTAAAGCTCATATCATAGAGACTAGAGCAAACACAGTCCTTTACTCTGTCTTTCTCTTAGACCAGTCTTCTCTCAGCTCATTCTGCGCGTGATGAAGCTGCTCGATTAGAGGAGAGGCGTGGCGTCATCGAGTTCCATGTCATTGGAAACTCCCTCAACCAAAAGCCCAATAAGAAGATCCTCATGTGGCTTGTTGGCCTGCAGAATGTCTTCTCACACCAGCTGCCTCGCATGCCTAAAGAATACATCACACGCCTCGTCTTTGACCCGTATGTTTCTTACCATTAACCATTTTAATGTAATTAAGACATTAAAAGTCTGATGCCTATAGTAACAAGTAGGGGTGCAACGTATCGTAGATGATATGTGATCCGTAGGGACCAGGCCCCACGGTTCGGCACGCATGTGATTCGCGGATTAACTGTTAAGTTTAACCATCATAGTTAACGTTTATCATTTGCACATGTTTTGTCTTGCCAGTTTACACATTCAAGCAGTTTTAACTCGTGCGCTTTTTTCTGTGCGCTCAGCTGCTGCCGCGCACACACAGAGAGAGGGAGGCACGATTCAGACACAGCGTGATTCCTTTTTCTACATACACACAAAGTTATGTTAAAATACCCGCTTTGGCAAGTATTCTATTAAACGCAGTCGGTTAGTTCTTAAGTGAACGTAAACAGGTGAGAAAGAAACTGGATGTGTGTCAGTGTTAGGGCCGTGCATTTGGTCTTAAATCGACAGCAGCCAATAAATACTTTTCTGTCTGCTAATCAAATAACACCACAGCTCTAACAAAGATTAATCTGTATTTAACTTGTGCAGTGAGCACTATTGTGTTAAACTTAATTATTACATTTCTGCACCTAAATTCTGATATTTGTAACTGTGATTTGTTGTTTTCATCTATGCTTGTAATTTAATTGTTCTTGTTTTATTACGAACTTTATTAGTTAAGCTAGTAGTTTTTGCTATGGTATAGAAGTACTTAAAGTAAGGTTTTTTTTTTTTTTTGCTGATCCGTATATGATCCGAACCGTGAATTTTGTGATCCGTTGCACCACTAGTAACAAGCCTAGTGTAGAGGATTGAAGCTTTAAAACTGGTGTTTTCTGACATTTTAAAGGTATAGTTCTGTCATGACAACTCTCGGAGAGTTTAGCATGGTAATGTACATGACAGAGTTAATGTGTTTGGTCTTGGCGGAACAGATCTGCTACGCTGCTGCTGCTGCGGCAGAGCAAGTACCAAGACTTGCTACTTCCAGTACATCCACAGACATGCTGCTGTGAACATGTAAGAAATACTGCTGCTGCACATATAACATATATGAAAAAAAACATATATAACATGCATGAAATCACCCTGTAGCAGATCTATACAGGTGGAGGGTTTCTGAAGCATGCTGCAACTGCTTCAGCAAGCACTAGCCGAGTATTTGAATGTTGAGCGGCAAGCTCATTGGCTGCTGATACGAAAAGAACCAATCAGCTGCGCCTATCGGACTGTGCCATCTAGAGTTTCATGACAGAACTTTGGATTTAACTCGTAGCCTAACAAGTTGACTGTTAAAGGGATAGTTTACACAAAAATTTAAATGTTGTCATTATTTACTCACCCTAAAGTTGTTCCAAACCTGTATGAGTTTCTTTCTTCTGTTGAGCACAAAATAGTTTTTTAGTAGCCATTGAGATTACCATAGTAGGAGAAAAAATACTTTGGAAGTCAGTGGCTACCAGCAACTGTTTAGTTACCAACATTCTTCAAAATATCTTCTTTTATGTTTAACAGAAGAAACAAACTCATACAGGTTTGGAACAACTTGAGTTGAATGAGTAAATGATGACAGAATTAAAATTTTTGGGTAGACTATCCTTTTAACAGTCAACTTGGTTTAGATTTAAATTGTATTCTAATTGTTTATTCTGGTTAATGTTAACCTACTGCCTTCTGTGAACTGTGGCATAACATTGTGATGAGTCAGTGTACTTCCTCTTTACACAGGAAACACAAGACTCTGTCTCTGATTAAAGATGGCCGTGTTATTGGGGGAATCTGTTTCCGGATGTTTCCAACTCAGGGCTTCACTGAGATTGTGTTCTGTGCAGTCACCTCCAATGAGCAAGTCAAGGTGTGTTGTCTTATAAATACTGCAATGCATTCCCATTATTATTTTTTATTATTCTTTCTCACTCATTGCTAGCTTGACCTTTATTCATTTGATTGCTGCTTAAGGGTTATGGGACTCACCTCATGAACCATTTGAAGGAGTATCACATCAAGCACGAAATTCTCAACTTTCTCACCTACGCTGATGAATATGCCATTGGCTACTTCAAAAAGCAGGTCAGTGCTCTATTAGTTCCATGACACAAAATACAACTAAAGAGTATGGTGAATTATACTGCCAAGCTCCAAAAATGACAAAAAGTATGGATGTTCTGCTTAACATATCCTTTTGTTGCTGGGTTGTAACAACATGAAGATAATAATGAGGATATATATATATATATATACATATATATATTTTTTTTTAGGTACTATCGCTTTAAGTATATGCCCATTTTCCTATTTTGTTTCTCTTGCTTTATGTCAGGGATTTTCTAAGGACATTAAAGTGCTGAAGTCAAAGTATGTGGGCTACATTAAAGACTACGAGGGGGCCACACTCATGGGCTGTGAACTGAACCCCTGCATCCCTTACACTGAGTTCTCTGTCATCATCAAGAAACAGAAAGAGGTGTGTGTGTGTGTGTGTGTGTGAGAGAGAGAGAGAGCGAGCATGAGATCTGAGGTGTGTCAAAGAGGTTTCTCAGTTTGGTTAAATTCATCATTCTGTTATTGCCTAAAGGGTTTTCTACCTCTTATCTCACCCTCTCTCTCAGATCATTAAGAAGCTTATAGAGCGCAAGCAAGCACAGATTCGGAAAGTCTACCCTGGCCTGTCCTGTTTCAAAGAGGGAGTTCGTCAGATTGCCATTGAGAGCATTCCAGGAATCCGTATGTCTCACTTTTATGTATTTTTTTAAAGAACTAAAAACAAATGCATAATAATAATAATAATAATAATACAATATTTTATTTATTTTATTATACAAATAATAATTATTTAATAATAATATTAGCATTTTAATAATAAATATGACAATTTTAAATAAATGTGTTCTATTTGAATATATTTTAAGATGTCATTTATTTCTGTGAGGGCAAAGCTGAATTTTCAGCAGTTATTACTCCAGTCTTCAGTGTCACATGATCCTCCAGAAATTATATGCTGAGTTGCTGCTCAAGAAACATTTCTTATCATTCTCAATGTTAAGAAATGTTAACAGTTGTGCTGCTGTTTGTTACTTTTTTTCTGTCAGGATGCTTAGATGAATAGAAACTTCAAAAGAACAGCATTTATTTGAAATGGAAATCTAAAATTTCCTGTCACTTTTGATGTACTTCATGCATTCTTTGCAAAATAGAAGTATTAAAGGGATAGTTCACCCAAAAATGAAACTTCTGTCATTAATTACTCACCCTCATGTCGTTCCAAACCCGTAAGACCTTCGTTCATCTTCTGAACACAAATTAAGATATTTTTGATGAAATCCGAGAGCTTTCGGACCCTGCATAGACCGCAACACAACTACCACGTTCAAGGGCCAGAAACGTGGGCCTTGAACTTTTGAACCGTAGTGAATAAATATTTGACTTAAGATGAAATTTCATAATAATGAATACATTTAAATTAATAATAAATTTAATTGAAACTTTACTGTTTACTTGTCTTTGGACAGGTGAGACGGGCTGGAAGCCTTTAGGGAAGAGGTGAGTGTGTATCTGTGAGTCACAGCTAAACAAATCTTATGTAAACATGTAGTGTGTTTCATTTTTGCGTCATTTTTCACAGCAAAGAGCTGAAGGATCCAGACCTGTTGTACAGCACCTTCAAGAACATCTTACAGCAGGTCAAGGTAATGCATATCTGCAGTGCTTACATGTTTCAAAAACTATATTTATGAAAGACCATAAAACGAATAATGAGGAATATATATTGTACTCCTTAGTCCCACCAGAATGCATGGCCCTTCATGGAGCCTGTAAAGAAGAACGAGGCACCTGGTTATTACCAAGTCATCCGCTTCCCTATGGGTACACAAAGATCACTTATACACAATGCTCGTTATGCTTACTTTTGAGCATGAAATGCCTGACTGTTATTGTGCATTGTAGACTTGAAGACGATGAGCGAGCGTCTGAAGAGTCGTTACTATACCACACGGAAGCTGTTCATGGCTGACATGCAGAGGATCTTCACTAACTGCCGAGAGTACAACCCTCCCGAAAGCGAGTACTACAAATGTGCCAACCTACTAGAGAAATTCTTCTACACCAAGATCAAAGAGACAGGCCTCATCGACAAGTAATCCATCTAGGGGGCAAAGTAGTTTCCCTCTCTACCTCTTTTTCTCGACATTTATCATATATATAACTCCTTTTTATCCCCATTTATAACCCCATTGTTTTTGCATCAAAAGGAGGGTTATCTGAAATTAAGATGTTTAAAGGAATAGTTGACCCCAACATTAAAATTTGCTGAAAATGTACTTAACCTCAGGCCAGCCAAGATTGTTTCTTCATCCGAAAAATTTGGAGAAATTTAACATTACATCATTTGCTCACCAGTGGATCTTCAGCAGTGAATGGGTGCCGTCAGAATGAGAGTCTACATATCTGTTAAAAGCATCACAAGTCATCCACACAATTCCAGCTTATTAATTAACATCTTATGAAGCGAAAAGCTGTGTTTGTAAGAAATAAATCCATCATTAAGGCATCACAAGGCATTAATTGCTGGACTGGAGTCGTGTGGGTTACTTGTGAAGTATTGTGATGTTTTTATTAGGGATGCACCGAAATGAAAATTTTTGTCCGAAGCCGAAACCGAACAAAATGAAACACTGGGCCGAAGGCCGAATACTGAATACGGTTTTTCGAGTTTTTCCCCCCATGTATTTTGCCAATTTGTTTCACCATTGCATAAATTAAATAGCCAAAATGTGCTTTTTACTGTTTTGTCTTGCTTTTCAAAGAAAAAATCAATTAAAAAAACGATTTAAAAATATTTAACACTGAACATTTTCTAGCAGATATTATACCAACAAAGCACAATTTAACTTAAAATTAATAAGTTAGTAAAATATTTTTTTGGCCATCAGACCCCCTTCTTGAATCAAGCATAATAATTTTTTTTTTTTACTGTACAAATAAAAGCAGCCTTGCTGAAAAGAGACTTCTTTTAAAACATTAGAAAATATTACAGATCCCAATTTGAACACTATGCATGTTATAATAAATGTATTAACAGAGCTGTTGTAATTACTATTATCATTATTATTGTCTTTTTATTTTTTTTCGAATACGTCGCACGTATCGCATTGTCACATGCCTTGTAAAAATTCATAAAAATGTGACTGAGCAACTGACGACTTTCCTCACGCTTTGGACTTTGAACCCTGGTTAACAAGCAGATAGCCCAGCAAGTTTGTGCAGTGCTGTCAGAATACATGCAATTCGTGCGTGTATTAGAAAACATAACGTTCTGCAGTTTATTTACTAATTGTTTAATGCCATTTCGCGATTTCAATCATCATACAGTAACCAGCAGCAATCACCCCTTCCTCTTTTCATCAAAGACATGAGTAGTAAACAGTCTCTTGCTGTCTGTGCTTGTAATGATTTTTGCGTCTTTCTTGGAAAGTTTAAATGTTTAAATGCTTCCACACTGCTGATGTGTGCATAAAGAGTGCGCGCCTCTCACACCGTGTCTACACCTGACGCGAGCGGCGCGGCGCGACAAAATACTATAGAACTCATTATAATCAGTGATGCTGTCTACACTGGATGCGCGCGACACGACCAATCCCCGACAGAAACCTGCTGCCGCGTTTTATTTATGACGTATTGACACAAATTTCAAATGATTTTCAACAGTCGCTTTGTCACTTCCAGTGTAGACAGACTTTTTAGCTGTTGAGATGCGGCGCGACAGGACAACGGTGTAAACACGGTGTCACTCTACACTGGTTGCTATTTGATAGCATCACGTCATTGTTATATGTACAGTTTATTCGGTCATTTCTCTTATTTGGCCAAACACCGAAAGAGCTTTTTTTTTGCTATTTTCGGCCGCCGAACATTCGGTGCATCCCTAGTTTTTATCACCTGTTTTAAATCTCATTCTGACGGCACCCATTCACTGCAGAGGATCCATTATTGAGCAAGTGATGTAATGCTAAACTTCCTCAAATCTGTTCCGATGAACAAAATACACATCTACATCTAGGATGGCCTGAGGGTGAGTACATTTTCATTGTCGGGTGAACCATTTATTTAAAGATAAGTCTTTAGAAATTGTGAATATCCGCATGACCACCATATGTGAAAAGTCTTTTTCCTGTCTTAAAAAATTCCTTCTGCCAAAACTACGGAACAATTTTAGTATGTACGGTTGGATGCATTTGGAGTGCATGTGTTCTTGCTAGTGTGTGTATATAATAGTGAAAATCTTTATGAAAAACTGTATATTTTATATAGTAGCGAAGGATGTGGCCTACAACTCAACCAAGAAAAATGACTCTAATTATCTAATATTGTACCTTCAAAGAGCACTTATTTATTATTAAACCTAAAGAAATGGTGATAAATACTAGTATTGAGAAGATGAAGATTCCTAATCAAAAACTTGCACATTTGTGGTCTTAAACAGAGCGTGTATGTGACGTGGTGTAATGAGGAGCATTCCCTGTCCAGTTAGAGAAAACAGTCTTAATATGCTTCATCTTTATGGCTGTGCTTCTAATGAAAACGTACAGTCTTTGTATGTAAAGATGACACGTGCAATGACTCGCACTATTGTTGTTTTCTAAAATATTTGTACTTTTAAATACTTAAGAGATGGGCTTTGTACTACATTTGGGGGAACGGGGGATAAAGCTATTTTAAGTACCTTTGCTTTTAAAGACATTGCATATTTTATAGAATCATTAAATCTTTAGAGCAACTAATGTGAAAGAAATGTCTACTTTTGTGTTAGTAGTTTGTGTGTGTTTTAGTAGAGGGTAATGTTGCACAAACTGCACAATTCTTTTGTTTTTTTTTGTTCTTGCACTTTTTTAGATACAGAAAAAAATCACAATCATCCATTTCTTGAGTTATTACATGTTTATGTATATTATATCATTTATTCTGATGCCATTTTTTGTTGGCTGACCAATTTAGGTATGTTGCAGTATGTCTGTTTATGTTTTTATTGAAAATGAGTCAACAGACTGGAGTTCCTGGATTTATGCAAAATTTGCTGGTCTAGTCTAGCATTTCACCATGTAGCACAATGCTCTCAATGGTGTTTCCAATACTATAAAGTAGGGCTGCACGATTAATCGAATGCAATTGTCATGCGCATCTTGTCAGTAAAGCCGGTTCTGTGATTAGTAGTAAATCTCCAGCACGTGCTTTCAGATGGAGCAGCTTTTACTACACAGAGCCGTAGTTCACTGACAAGCTACGCAAAATCGCGTTCATAATCGCAGACGATTTAATCGCGCAATTATGAAATCGAAGAAATCGTTCTGCGATTACGAAAGCTGTTTGCGTAGCTTGTCAGTGAACTACGGCTCTGTGTATTAAAATCTGAAAACACATGAAAATGCCACGTTTAATAACATGTTTTTACTCCAAACTCACTTCATAACGTCAGTCAAGTGTTTGAAATAAATCCTTTTGAAATAAAAGCTTCTTACACATAAGGCACGCAACATATTTCATAGTATTCTAAGCAGTGATAAAAGCAATGTCGATTAGCATTGCATTATTATATACTTTATTATAATAAAAATTATAAGATGAACTCAGATAAACCATATATTGTCGTAGTCGTGTGTTTA